CTTAACCGACTGCGCCACCCAGGCGCCCCAAAGGGGTTGTTTTGAATGAGTTCAAGTTTCTGGGGCCAGACAGATCCCACCCCAACCGTTGAGGCCCGCTGCTGGGCTCCGAGGAAGTGGGAATGGGAGTGGTCATGGGGCAGGAGATGATGAGCTGCCGTCTGCTTTTCCAAAGAGGAGGCAAGTTGATTCAGTGAATGAATCAGGGGTTTTCAAGTGCAAGCAACAAAATTGATTCTCAAAATTTAAGCAAAAAAGAGAAAGTACCGGCGAGAAATTGGGTTGTTGGAGAAGGGCCAAGGGACTTAAAAAGTAGGCCCTGAAGTGAGAAAGGAACCAGGAAAGGGGAAATTACTTACCTGTCTCATTGGGCCCTGCTGCTGAGATCAGGGGCCCCCCAAGTTCCCACGAAGGTTGTATACAAAAGGGGAAGGTCATGAGGGCTCAGAGCTTTCCTGACACTATTCTAGAGACCTTCTTTCTCCATGTCCTTTGGGTTCACACAGCCAGAGGTCCATTTTTGAGACTCATACATTCTTCTCAAGACCCCTATACTTTCAGAAATCTGGCTCTACTGGGGGAGAGGGGCAGGGGCTGTCTTTGGTGTGAATTTCCTGAAGCCCACCACACAAAGGCCAGGATGCCCTTCTGAGAGTGGTCAGCATTCCCTCCTCAGCAGTGATGTGCTGGTAAAAGTTTAATACTTGGCACTCTGGGAGAGCTGGGGAACTGGTTTGCCAATTTCCATGGTGTAAATACTCCCACTGTGGCCTATTTTAAGCTACCAATGTGATATCAGCTGGCTTGAAAAATTCTACAAATTTTAATTATGGTCTGTCTTTAGCAAAGGTGAGCCGGCTGTAGCACACTGCTATTCCCTGGTCACCCTGAAGAAGTGGTCACAAGGAGAGAGTGACAGAGGGTCTTTAGGCCTCTGCCTGTAGACCCACCGATGTCCCCAGGCTTGGAGGGGCTGCTCCTTCTGGACACCAGGCTCTTTGGTGGGCTGAGGGTGGGGAGTCACTTAGGCACCAGAGCCACTAAGAGCCAGGGTTCTGCCGGTGATGGTGTGGGTTAGAAGCTTAAACTGGGTGACGTTAGGTAGCGTCAGGTCTCTGCACCTCAGTTTCCTCATCCAGAAAATATGGATAATGAGAGGCTCCTACCTCATAGGGTTGCAAAGACTAAATGAGGTATTCCATGTGGAACAACTTAGCCCCATTCAGGCCCACAGTAAATGCTCAGTGCATGGGAGGTGCTGCGATGCTATGTGGACTGCACCGAGTACGCTCACTTTAGGCCTCTGTGACCACACCCCTAAAGCATAAGGAAGTGGAGCATGAGGTCCCTGGCTGACAGCACTGACAGAGAGCCTCAAAGGGCAAGACCCTGCAGGTCTGGAATCTTGGGAAGGTGCTTATTCTGGGGTGACAAGCTTTCATGGAAGGGTTTGAGAAGGAAAGTTGATGCGGTGAAGGATGACTCACCCCCGGTGACTTGGCCAGGTATGACTCCTAACAGCCTGGAGGCGGGATGGGGTGTAAGGATGAGCAGAGAGGTGGCAGGGGCCATAGCGACATTTGAGAGCCTAGATTGGCCGGGCATGGATAACCTACCTGCTGGCCTGTAGGGTGGACTGTGGCTTCGGGGCTCGTCCCTGGCCACCACCTCCCCCCTCCCCCCACCACTCCCCGCCATGCTCTGCTTCTGAGCTCTGGCGGTCCCTAAGGTCAGAAGAAAGGGACTCCACCTGGGACCTTGGCACGTGGTGGGATTGGACCAGACAGTGAACGGATGGGGCAGGGCACAGGCATTCCATAGTGACAGTGTGTGTACAGGGGAGCCAGGAGGCACAGCCCAGCAGAAGCAGACAGTGCCTGCGGGGGACCAACAAGCGATAGGGCTGGCTGCATCGTTGAGCTGGGGAGAGACAGGAGGTGAATGGTGTTTAAGGAAGATTAATCTGGCAGCGCATCGAGGATAGATTGGGAGCAGGGTGAGGCTGGAGGCAAGGAGACCAGCCAGGAGGCTGTGGTGGTCATCCAGGCAAGAAATGATGAGGCCCCCCCTTCCCAGAGAGCAAGCAGCAGGGATAGAGTGAGAGATGGTTGTGGGAGACATTTGAAAGGAGGAGCCTCTGGATGTTACATGTGGAAGGCATGGGACCAGGAAGAGGCAAACATGATTCAGAGCTTTTGAGCCACGGGAAGTGATGTCAGAAAGAGAAAATGGCTTGGGAGCTGTGTAATGAATGAGAAAGAAGCCGGGAGAGCAAGAAGGCCCCACAGTACTGGGGGCCCCAACCAGGGAGCTCCACCCGGCCAGGCCCTCTCCAGAGCATGGCCATCAGTCTGGGCACTTTGGCCATAAGCAACAGAAACTGGCTCTGGCCCATGGGAAACCAAGGGGTAGACTTAAAGTCATGTCCTAAGAGAGAAGTCCTCAAAGGTCTGGGTGGCGACGGGGTTGTGTTATTTAATTTAAGGCACTGGAGGCAGGAAAGGAAAGTGGATTTGCTTTGTTCTGTGTAGCCCCAGAGAGCAGGGTCAGGACCAGCAGGTGAGAGGCGCAGGAGGCTGAGAAAGACCTTCCTAACAAGCAGTGACATGGGTAGACTTAGCAGGAAGTGAGCTCCCAGTCGGTGGGGCTGTTGGAACATTCCCTGTTGGGACCTGTCAAGGAGACCATGGGTGGGAGGCAGGTGGCCTTGGTGAGGCTTCGTGGTAAAGGGGAAAAGATGGGGCTCCAGAACGGACTCGGACTCCTCTCAGGCCCACCCTCACTCATTGTCCTTGAGGAGTTTCTTGCCCTTTGGGAACTGGGCTTTCCGGAGAATTGACCCCATCTCGTGAGGTGTTGTAGTTTCTCTGTAGTTTTGAGTACTCAACACATGGTCTCATGGGCATAGCACCCCTACCCTCCCTTAGGTGACCTCCTCCCCAATACCATGTGGTCCTGTTGGGACTGTCAGTCATAGGGTTCCATCCGTCCCCCAGGGAAAGCATCTTCATGGGCAAATCCTGATGGAGATCCTGGGCAACATGAATTGATCCCAAGTGGCCACATGACCAACCAGGATTCTTTTCATGGCTTTTCTTACTTGCAGGTGGAGAAGTTGCCATCTCTGCCTCTGGGTTTAGCCTGTGAAGATGCAGGTGGGAATGTTGGACCAGTGGTAGCTACTTCCCCCTTGTGTGGAGAGAGCCTGTCTGGTGAGAAGAGTGAGGCCAATACACAGGCAAATCAGAGACAAACAGAAGGGAAGATTGTCCCAAGGCCCTGGAGACTCAGTTCCCTGAACTTTTCTATCAGTCCTGTGAGCTGCCCCAACAGCCTTTCCGGCCCTTAAGCCAAGAACTTCCTGTTTTAGGCTTCTGCCAGTGTGGATTGGGTTTTGGTACCCTGTACCCGAAAGAGGCCTGGCACAGGATCTCAGGAGGAACACATGATGATGTGAGCAAGGCACCCAAAGGTGGCAGTGTGCAGGGCATTCACCCTCCAGGTAGCAGATGCAACATTCTAAAAAATAGAGAATGCACACACAAAAAAATCCAGATTTCAGGCTTCCCTTGAAAAATCAGATATAGGGGGCACCTGGGTGGCTCAGTCACCTAGTGTCCGACTTTGGATCAGGTCATGATCTCATGGTTGGTGGGTTCAAGCCCCACGTCAGGCTCTGTGCTGAAAGCTCAGAGCCTGGAGCCTGCTTCAGATTCTATGTCTCCCTCTCTCTCTGCCCCTCCCCCGCTCACGCTCTGTCTTTTTCTGTCTCTCAAAAATAAATAAATGTTAAAACGTTTTCAGAAAGGAAAAAAGAAAAATCAGACCTGGGCACTATGAGCCCATTTCCCTGGGTCGGCAGGAGCTAGGACCAGGCTGTCACCTTGACAGGTGTGCACCCCCACTGCCCATGTGCACAAGGCTGCATTCTCCACCCCACACAGTGCTCTGCACATAGCAAGCCCTAAAAACATGTGCAGGCACACTCCTTCCCTTTCCCTCCCTTCCAGCAAGGAGAGCCTGTTTGGGGCTCTCACAAATGTTTGGGGCATCACATTTCACCTGTTCAGTTTGAGGCAGTGGCAGATGGGCAGGTACAAACATCTAAAAGATCACTGGAAAGCCAGGACTGGCACTTTGAGATGCAATGAGGGTGGGAAGTGGAGATGAAAGACCCATTCCTAAGGAGCTGGTCATGGGTACCGTGAGCTCAGATCCCATTCTAAAGAGCGATTGGGGAATGGCTGCAATTGAGATGGAAAAGGAAAATTTGGGAGGAGATTCTGAGGAAGCCAGAAGCAGACCAAAGAGAGAGCAATAGGATCCAGGAAATTTTTAAGTTTTGAGCAGGGCTGGGAGGCAGCCACAAGGAAGGCTGCAAGGAAGGAGCATGCAGATGAGGCCTGGAGGACCTGTGCGCTGGGAGGAGGCCACAAGGAGCTGCTTGGGACCTATGCAGAAGCCCAGAGACAGCATTAGAGAGTGGGGAAGAGTGGGTGCCAGGACACAGAGGACACTCAGAAATTATAGAGCTGGGGTACAAGGATATGAGCCAGAAAAGACTTGGGTTCTGGTGGATGCTTCAGAGGAGGAACCCGAGCAAAGGGGGCAGGGGCAAGACAAGCTTGACTGCTGAGTGTTTGCAAAGCACTTGCACCTAACCTCTCTGCAGGTAGGTTCAGAGGTGAAGTGACCTCACAAAGTCACATGGCAGCCACCACGGAGCCAGGTCGCAGCCCTAGCCCCTCTGTGTGCCATCTGCAGAAGGGGGTGGGGCAGAAGGCCCAGGGCCCTAGTGAGTTTTTGAGGGAGGTGGAGAGGATGGCCTGGGGGACAGAGCTAGGTGAAGGTGGGGGCACACCTGTCATTAAGTGTTGATGGAGCACCTCCTGGGTGCCAGGCTAGGTGTTTCGCACTATAGATACTCAGTGAGCAAGGCAGGTGCTGGCCCTACCTTGAGGAACTCACTCTAGTGGGAGGAGATGGGAAGGAACTCACTCTAGTGGGAGGAGATGACGATAAACTAGTAGATTCAGATAATGAGGAATGTTCTCCAGGAGTTGGAAGGCAGGCAGAGAGGGCCACGTGACCACATGACCATGAGTGGGCTCATGCGGGCGTGCTGGGTGCCAGGTTAGACTGGATGGTCAGACCTCTCTGAGGAGGTGAGGTATGAGCTGAGACCTGAATGACAGGAGATCCAACTGTGGGTGCAGCAGCCTGGAGGTGGGAATGAACTTGGCTACTAAAGGGTCCACTGTGGTCTGGGCGCAGGGACGTGGAGTTAGGTGAAGAGAGAGCATAATGACGTACCTCTGTGTTCATTTATGCTACATGCCCCCTTGCCTACCAGAAAGGCACAAAATTGCAAAGCAGATCTGAGAAGTCCAACAGGGATAAGGAAAGTGACTAGGAGAAGAGGGTGCAGCACGAGAGAGCCCAGGTCTGGAGAGGCTAGACACTGTCCTGGACTGGCAGTCAGGAGGCCTGGGTCCCAGGACTGCTCTGTATTCAGAATGCGAGCCCCTGGCCGGATGTTCTCCTCTGCCTCATTTGTGAAATGAAGCAAATGATCCAGAATGACCCAGCTCTGGGCTTTCATGGAGGTGACCCTGAGGCAGGGGCAGGCAGAGGGCAGTCAGTTAAGTGTCCAACTCTTGATCTCAGGGTTGCGAGTTCAAGCCCCACCTTAGGCTCCACGCTGAGCATGAAGCCTACTTTAAAAAAATTTTTTTTTGTTTTTAAATTAACCATTTTAAAGTACACAATTTAGTGGCATTTAGTACACTCACAATGCTGTGCAACCATCACCTCTATTTAGTTTCAAAATATTTTCTTCACCCCAAGGGACACCCTGTTAACAGTCACTTCCCATTCCCCCTTCCCCCAGCCCCTGGCAACACCAGCTTGCTGTCTGTCCCTACGGATTTGCCTATTCTGGGTATTTCATGTAAAATTGAATTATACAACATGTGGCCTTTTGTGTCTGGCTTCTTTCACTGAGCGAAATGTTTTCCAGGTTCATCCATGTTGTAGCATGTATCAGTACCTCATTCCTTTTTACGGCCGAACAATATTCCATTGTATGGATCGACCACATTTTGTTTATCCGTTATCATCCATTTGGGTTGTTTTCACCTTTTGGCTATTGTGAATAGTGCTGCTTTGAATACTCATGTGCAAATATTTGTTTAAAACCCCATTTTCAGTTATCTTTGGTATAAACCTAGGAGTGGAATTGCTGGGTCAAATGGTAATTCTAGGGTTTAATTTTGAGGAAATGCCAAATTGTTTTCCTCAGCAACTGCACCATTTTATGTTGCATGCATGAGCATGAGGGTTCCAGTTTTTCTACATCTTAACGTTTACTTCTGACACATTAAATTCTTGCAAAAATTGTTTTTCTCTTCTCCTGTTGCTCCTGCTTTACTAATGCCTGAGTCCCTGGGGAGCCTGCCACTAGGCCAGCCAGCCCTGCCTGGTGAGGGTCTCATGGTCCAGAACTGGCATCCAAGGGCAGGTCGAGGGGACTGGGGCAGCTGGGGACACGCAGTCCTGCAGCAGGCAATGGGGTCAGGCTGGCTGTCAGAGATGGGGCTGGGCCTTTCTCTGCCCTCTGGGACTCCTGTTTCCCTCTGCCCCCTCCCTCCTCCTCTGTGCATGCCCCCAGCCAGGAGCTGCCCTCGCCACCCCTCTGCTCCGTTTTGTGTGTGTGTCTCATCACCAGGATAAATGTAGCTACAAACAATGCGACGGGCTGGGTGCTAATTTGTCAGACGCAGTGCGCGGCTGTGATTCCGAATACATTAACATTTTCACATGAAATCATTTCAATTTTTAGTGATTAAGAAGTATTTGTTTTAAAGCATCAGGATGATTTACTGCAGGCCTGGAGGGCGGTGGGGGGCAGGGGCAGGGGAGCCCCAGATGTGATGTCATTCACGGGCACCCGCGCAAGCAGAGCTCACGCCAGTCATCACCCTACTCCCACCTGTGTCCATCACAGGCTTCCTGGACGTGGGGCTGCAAGGAGCGGGCATGTGGCAGGACCAGGTGGTGGAGACAGGGAGGTCTGAGGGCCCCTCGAAGGTACTGGGACCCTGAAGCCTCAGCCCCTACTCTCTTCCCCCCTCTTCTCCATGTCATTCAAGACTCACTGAAAGTCACCTCCTCAGAGAGGCTCCTGTTGGCCCTCTAACCTCAAGTAGCAGCTTAACTTCTGTCTTATTTCCTTCACAGCACTTTGCAATATCAGAGGTGACCTCCTTTACTGATTTCTTTACTTTTTATCCCCCCCACCCCCAGGATTAGAACACAAGCTTCTTGAGGGACTGTGACCTGCTCCCTGCTATATCACCTATGCCTAGAACAGGCCTGGCACTAAGTAGAAGCTCAGTATTTGTTGGCTGGATAAGTGGATGGATGGAGGGAGGGAGGGAGGGATGGGTACAGAAGGGCATAGAAGACCCCTCACCATACCATGTATCCTGTCATCCTTGAATCAAGCCCTCTGTGACTTGAGGAATCCCAGCCCTTCCCCAGCAAGCCACCTCTGGTGTGCCAGACTCTGAGCACCTAGGAAATACAGGTTCATTAGCACTGGGGCTGTACTCATAGGCTCCAACCCGCCCCCAAACTCTTCCTCATCACTTCCATTCTTTAGAACCTGTCTATGCCTCCCTCGCAGGATGGATGGGAGCTGCCATAAGGGGCTCCCAAGGGTTTTGGACAGATGATTTCCTTCAGATCCCAGATGCTGCCAGCCCCCTCCTCCCCTCCTAGGGGCCCTCAAGCAGGATGGCCTCCCCAGAGCAGCTCACAGGGCAGCCAAGGTCTGGGTATGAAGGATGTGCCTGCAGGGGGCATGTGTGTGGCATGAATCTGCTTATGTACTAGTGTGTGTGTGATAGGAGGTCCTCAGAGCTTTGCCAAGTGAGAATCGGGCTCCTGCTGGCCTCACTCCACAGTAGCCACTCGGAAGGCCCTTCCTCACCCTTCTGCACCTCCAAAACTTCTGTGGCCCCTCACTCCACCCCCGTACCCCCAGATCAGACCCCTCCTCCCCCACCTTACCCCAGTGAAAAGAAAATAACTGGAAGCTTTTATCGTTCAGCAGAAGCAACATCAGAAAACAATTATTGTTTTAATTACCTGCTGTCGCCGTACAAGACAGGGAGGTTGTAAAACGTGATAAAATCTTTCATGTTAATGGACTGCCAGCCTGGGCCAGGGCACGATTTATGGAACTGCAGCTGGCAATTCCAGTCAGCTGGTGTAGAGGCCCCAGGCCCCCCTCTCCCTGTCCCTAAGGCCAGGTCTCCAATGCCAAGGGTGATATAGCAGCACAGACACAGGAGCATCCTGGAGGCTCCATTCCCTGCAGGGTGAACCTTGGATTGACCCCTCTTTCTGCTCCATGGAAGACATGCCAGTGTTAGGCTGGCTCCCTTAAGTAGGCCCTCTGCCCATGACCCTGCTCTGCTGTGGCCACCCCCAGCCTCTGGCCACACGGGGCCATTGCCCTGGGCACCATCTTGGATTCCAGCACTTCCCAGACCTGGTCCTGCCCTGAGCCCTGTCACCTCGAACCTGTCTCTTCCTTCTCTCCCTCCCTCTACCTCCTAGAGCCTGACTGCTGACCACCGCCTCCTGACAGAGGTCCTCATCTGTCCTCCTGCCCTCAACGTTCAACCCAGCCTTACTGCTATACTTGCATCTCCCCAAAACCCAAAATGGCACACCCCTGCTTGGGAACCACCCCTTTTTAAGCACTTTCACACATTTGCTCATGACAGAACTTTGAGGAGATGCTGTCATTATCCTCCCCATTTTACAGATATGAAACTGAGGCATGGAGAAGTCAAATGTTTGGCTGTCAGTCCGACTTTACGGGGTTGGTCTAAAGATTGAATGGGTAGCAGTTGTGAAATGCTTGGAACAGTGCCAGGAATAGTTCACGGTCAATACATTCTAGTTCTAATAATAATTTTTGTTGTTATTGCTGTTCAACCTGGAGCAAATTGCTTAGCTACTTTAGTTACACCTCACTTCCCTCATCTGTAAAATGGAGACATGGCTTACCTATCCTATAGGATGAGGACATCAAATAAGCCCATGCCATAATGTGTGGCTTAGAGCAAGGTGTGTAGTGAGAACTGAGGACCTTTTAGCTGCTGGCCTTGCTGTCGCCATGGTAAGAGTGGCAGAAGTTGAGGTTGTGAAGATAAGTTGAGTCCACATTATGCAGTGGTCTCTTAATGCCATACCAAGGAGTTTCAAGCCATTCCAGAGATAGGGAGCTGCTGAAGATTTTAAATCAGGAAACATGTGATCGGATCTGGGTTTTAGAAGGATCATTAGTGGCCCAACGGCAGATCAAAGCTCAGAACCAGAATGATCCAGATGAGGGCTGACAAGGCCTGTACCCTGGCCATGGCAGAGATACTACCAAAGTCACGAAGACTTGATGTTAAGCATGGGTCTGGCGTGCATGGTGGCCACTTTTGCCTCAAGAATCCAGGTAATTGGCTAAGCCCAAGGGCACAGCAGGAATATCTGGGACTGAGGCCAAGTCCAAGTACAGAAGAAAATCTTTTTTTTTTTTTCAATATATGAAGTTTATTGTCAAATTGGTTTCCATACAACACCCAGTGCTCATCCCAAGGAAGAGAATCTTTAGGCCACTGCCAGGGACTGAGGTGGGGCTTCTCTGAACAACCTCATGAGACTGGTCATGTCTCCAGACAGGCTTGGGTGCAGGCTGGGAGTCTGCCTGGATGGCTTCACTTATTAATTTATTCACTCCCCCCACTCATTCATACAGTCCTTAACTCATGTCCTCCACAAATGTTTGTTGAACACCATTTCTGTACCAGGCTCTGAGCTGGACACTGCGGGTGCCGGGAAGTATGATGGCACACTCCTGGAGCTGATGTTCTAGTGGAGGAGATGGGCAACGAGCCAGTGAGCAAATGAAGAAATGAAATAATTGCATGCTGTCGAGAGTGCAGAGGAGAACAAAGAAGGAGCTGAGATGGGGTTCCCCCCTCCTTTCTCCTCCTCTCGGTCCCTGGCCTGTCTGCCTCTGAGAAGTGGCTCTCGGCTCCCCAGCCCACCGAGATGCATGGCTGGCATTAGCGGTCCAGCCTGCCCAATATGTCTCCCTGTCTTCCCTGGATTACTTCCACCATTTTGGCTATCACTTCAGAACTCTAATATATTCCCCAGGGCCCAGGAGGGGCCATTCATTTAAAGATCTTTCTATGGAGCCTTCTCCTCTGAGGACCCTGAGGGAAAGAAAAATGTCAGGAGAGGACGAAAAAGAGAGCAAGAGGAATCTGATTTCAGAACTCCCAAGCAGCAGGACAGATGCAGTAGAGAGCAGGGCCCAGTGACTCAGAGACTTATCTATCCAGTGGTGTAAGTACCTTCCCCATCCCTTTCACCTTCTGCCTGCACCCCTGCAGGAGTCTGAGACCCCCACATCCCATCCTCCTAAGGGAAAGCTGTCCCCAGGTGTTGGGAGATGGTGTCCCAGGTTATAATTTGGTTTGTCCCTCCCCTGTCCTTCCCAGTTCTCTGAGGGGCCACACGTGCACTGTGAGGGATCCTGCGGAGACCAGCCTCAGTGTACTCCGTTCCCTGTAGGTAGACCAGAGTGACCAGTGAGCTGACCCCACCCTGTTCCAGGTGGCCAGAGAAAACATGCCAGTGTGGTAGCCCCAAGGCAAAATAGGATGCGGGAAGGTGATAAGTGTGCTCTGGGCCATGGTTGGTGCTCATATGATTCTCTAGGCTGGGAGTCATCACCCCTTTGGGGTTTAAGTGGCAGCTACTTCTCATGAAAGTGTTTGGAAGTTCCAGGCCCCTACCTGGCACTGTGGACAACCTCTGCACTCTGCAAGGAGCATGGTCAGGGAGAGAGGTGGCTTCAGGGTGTCTTGGTAGGGTGACAAGTGTTCTCACACATCTCATGAGGCTGGAAATGAGACCTCTGGCCAGGGGCTGGCTTTGTACACCTGGAGGTGGACATTGGTATTGGTGTGACTGAGAAAAAAATATGTGCCCATCGGTGAAGGTGACCTCACTGCATGCTTGGAAAGCAGGGATGCCCACCCCTGGGGGTCCATGGTCACCTGCCAGACCTGCCTCTCTTCTAAGTATGAACAGAGGCTGCCTGCCCAGTCCACTGTGTGGCAACACAGCTATCTGGGCCCCCTGCCCATGGCTGAGAGAGGTCCTCATCCAGGATTCTCTAACCACCCTAGTCCAAATTTCAGGAAATTCCCTGATCCCCTCCCAACAGTTCCAGATGCTCCAGAGCCTCTGATCCATTTCTCTCATGTGCTGGCATTTTCCTGCCTGGCTCTATCTCCTTCCCTCCTGTCAAACATATGAAATCACTGGGCTCCTCAAAGGGCAATGCCAAGTCCCTCCTCAACATGCAGGTGTATGAGTGAGTGTGGAAGGAAGTGTGAGTGTGTGAATAAACACTTGTGTGCCTTAGCATGGGTGTAGAGGCACCAGCATCAATATAAATGGATGCTTTGATAAAGTGTGTGTGTGT